TCAATAGTAGATAATCCTTTTGCTATAAAAATTATCATTTGCATGTTCACAATTGTAAATGACTATGAATAATCAGCAATATCATTATGTTACTTTTAGAAGTGAGAAATGGAGGAGGAAGCATCCCCTTTATACAACAAGACAGTATTCTGGATAAATGATACTTTTTTATTAAAAAGGAAAATGAAGGAAGACTGGCCAAGTGCCCTTAATCAGGGCTTCATCCCTTTTTACCTTCCCAGTGTGATGGAACAGAAGCTGGAGGTATTATATGTGGGTAGATCAACAGTCATTTCCTCACCCAAGTTTTATTATTCATTGGATGGCTCCCTCATGAAATGACTCTTGTCATAGCCAGGAATATTCTTGGGCCAAGAGTGGATCTTAAAGTGATTTCCCTTCTCCCAAGTTCTCATTCATTCAGAATTTGCTAACATAAAATAGAGGACCATCACTTGCCAAGAATTTTGCAAGGAACTGGAGGTATCTTGATGATCACAATTGGGACACTCAAGGAACTTAGTCCTGGGATGGAAGCCACATTCGCTAAAGGGCTGCATCATTTCAAACTGGGCCGGGAAGCGGTTCTCAAGGAGTGTGAGACCTGTCTCAGACTGCAGTATCAGCAAAGACTTTCCTGAGTAAGTGGCAGAACTGAGCGGGAAAGTCCAGGTGGAAAGCTTAGAACTGCATTTCCGAGATTCCTTCTAGAAGGGGACTGTTTAGATCCTGCCAGGAGAGATACTTGTCTCAGGACTTTGAATGTTGACCAACAGCATTATGTAAAGACAGAGAGACAAGGGTAGGAGGGCAGCCATCAGCATAGAAGACCTCTGACCACACAGTGGTTATGAGATCATGACACTGCCTGCCTTTCCTTGGTCTCCTAGAGCTGTCCTGGTTCTTTATTGTTCCACAAATCTGGTTCTACCAGCCAGACACTGAGGTTCTGAATATTCTTGCAATAAATTCCCTTTTGCTTAAAGTAGCTAGAATTAGCTTCTGCTGTCTGCATTCATCAAGCTGTTTGCTTCTTGTTATATGCCACATTGCTTTCCACCAAACATATATTTTGGATTATGCATGTCTATCTCCCCAGTCAGACTGCCAGCTGCTTGAGGACTGGACAATGTCTTACTTATCTTTGAACCTCCAGGACTCAGAGAAGTGACTGATTGACACAGAGGAAACACTCAGTAAATGCAAAATGAATATGACTTTGCACATGTTCAAAAAATTAGGAGGTTTGCCAATAATAAATACAAAAGTTCAACTGGATGTTTAAACACCAAAAAAGAGATTGATTGAATCAAAAAATCCTCCATATCTTACATCAATTTCACACCAAAGTGGAAATTCTATGTCCTGTAGTTATCTTCTCAGATATTACTTTTTCTTATCAACTTCATGAAGAATCCAAGTAGGCTAATAACCCGTAGTATCCTTACAGCTCAATATATAGTCATTCAGAATTTTCACCACCACCTTCCAAATGGGTAGAATAAAGCTGCTGATGTGGGCAGGTCCATAGCATTATTGCCAGAAGCCACCTCCACTCACCTCTCCCGGCCCTTTGCAAGCCTCAGGGCAATCGATGAAGCCCAGTAGAGAGCTAGTGGATTTGGCTTCCAGAGAAATCACCATCTGTTTTTCTACCCCTAATAAATAAAGTGCCTCTGCTCTATAAATTCACAATGCTTGTGGAACCGCAACTTAGAATGAAAATGGATATCAAATTTTTGTCCAGTTTAATGGCTTTTAAAAAAATATCTTGGGTATTAAGTTCATGCTGCAAGAATCTATGGGCTGCATAACAGAATTTTATCTGGTTCAAATAATACTACCATGTCCTAAAGCCCTGGGCATTATACACTTTCCAAATGTACAATGTCGTCAAGGTTTTATGACATTTCCTACAAAAATGACTCAATAGTCAGGTAGCACTTCATCAACTGCAGTCTGAATTCAGGTATCAGAGCAGAATGCTATGCCTGCAGCAGAAAATCTGTGCTGCTCCTCTAAACTCAGTATCACAGCCACAAGGGGATATTCCACTAAGCGATTTTCATCCATGCACATTTTTGTCCCCTAATAAAAGAATTCCATATCTTGGAGTATGGAGTAGAGTCAAAAATATGGTGGTAGGACCCAAAATCCATTCTTGATGACTTCTGTTTTTCTATAAAATCTTAATCAGAGATATTCTGCCCCATGGGAGGGGGAGTTCTCCATTTATTCAACTTTACTTCCTTCTTCAAGTAGCAAAATGGTTAGAGCATCAAGCCTGTGCTTGCTGCCCAAACATGCGTGGCTTGTGGAGGACACAAGACTTCTGAGACTCAGGGCTCTGAAGGCAAAGCTGGCAGATAGGAGGTGCAAGTCTAGCCTTGCCAGGTTAAACATGGCTATGAAAGAAGCATACCCAGTTCTACTGGCACCAAAACACAGTGCTGGTTGCCAAAGAGTCTATGAGAAAGAAATATTAAGTAATATTCCGCCTCTGACATTGACATGAGTTTATTATTCTTCCATGTCAACCCACTCTAAACCAAAGCTTATGCTGTTCCAATCAAGGTCTGCCCTAAAACAGCCAATTATGCTGAATTTAGTCAATACTTTAAGGAGTATTCATTCCCAAAGACAATGCTACATCGGCATATTACCTTCTGCATCATTTCCACACTTCAGTTGGTTACTGCACTCTGTGCATCACTTTAGGGATTGTTTCTCTTTGATTACAGTTACCATAGAACCCCACCTTTTCACCATGTTGCCAGTGCCTCCCCAAATGTATTGGTAAACATTCAGTGAAAAACACTCCAAGTGGAACAACTTCTCCAAATATACATGAAATATTTCCAAACTCATTACATACATGGTTTAAATAAGTGGAGTTGTGACCATGTTGCCCGGAGGAACCATGATGTATAATTGCCTTTGTTCTAGGACTTTCAAACCGGCTCCCAAACCTTTTGGTCTGTCCGTGAAGAAAAGTGTAAAATTTTACAAAATATGCACATTAGTAAAAGTGGTCATTTGTCACTTAGGCATGGGAAGTGCCTTCCCAAAATCTTTACTGAGATTATTTTTGCCACTTGTTTCTCAAGAATGAAAGTGTTTAGTCTCACCTCCTGGCAAAACAAACAACTGTGATGTTCTTCCTCGATTCTCTCCCACACATGGTATCATCACCATAAAACTGAGTTCTAAAAGAAATGAGGTTTATTCCCTTAATTTGCCATAACAATTTTATTCCATTTTCCCAAAGACAATTCAAAAACAAACTTCCATCTATATTGTATAGCCTTGGGCAGGCCTACCATAAGCCTCCATATTCCTCAGTTTCTTGGAGTAAATAATTGTACCTGCTTCACAAGGTTATAGTCAAGAGAAAGTAAATAGTGCATGTGATAAGCATAACAGAGTATCCAGCATACAGTGTTCAACATTGGTAAGTTCAATAAATGTCAGTGTTTGTCATCATTCTCTGCTTGGTATTTAAATGAAAAGACTTCTTTGCAATCCTTCATACATTTTCCAAGAACTTCCACTTAACTGGTTCTCTGTTAGTCCCACCTGTCCTAGACAGCCCCTTGAATCCAAGGGTTCTCAGTCACCTCTTCCCAGCTCTCTTCTAGTTATCTATATCAATTAGCTGGACCTTCAAAGGGGGATCCAATGACCAGGGCCTTATCTGCAGAGATCTTGCCAGAACTGAATTAAGAATATGATCTGTCTGATCACCAGTGTCCTGAGAGTGAGGTTGGAAGCCACAGGGAATGGAGACAGCATCATGGGCATGCAACTTGTGTGGCTGCATGGGGCCCCTATTCAGAAGGGCCCCATGCTTGGTTTAATGCTCTGTTATTACCCCATCCTGAAATTCACTATAAAGTTTGAAAAACGTGGCCCCATTTTGATTTTCCCCTGGGCCCCCAAAATTATGCAGCTGGTTGTGACTGGAAAGTTTTTATTAGCTTGGTTTTATGTTAAAAGGGTTGCTCTAGCTTCCGTGTAGGAATAGGCTGTAGAAGCAGAAAAACACAACTAGGATGCTATTGATATAAACAAGGTGAGAGATGATGGTGGCAAATGGCACCAAAAGAAGAGGCCAGTTAGATTCCATTTGCAGCTGCAGCACATATCACCAGCACCGTGCCTGCCTGTGGCAGTGTGTCCTTGCCAGCCACCTCCTGCTGCCACCACTGGCTCCCATCCAGTTTCCATGCTGGTTGCCTATTAATCTGAGAACTCCTTGCTTCACAATACATTTTCTTAAAAGAAAAGGTGTTGGTTTCTCTTCCAGCCTACCCTTTTCCTAGGGAAAGGCAGGGGACCCTACAGTCCCACCAAAACTGTATACAGTAGTAAATGACAGTTCTCCAAAAGAAAACCAGGCTGCTGTCACAAAATCTGGATCCTCTACAATGGAGGAAAAAAAGCTGCTGAAAGAAGGAAGGAAAGCAGGGCCCTAACCAGGTCAAACGTCTTCTGTGTTAGGTGATGGTAGTCAGAGATTACTATACATTCTCCATTGACCCCAATTAAGTAACAGATGTAAACATTACCCCTTCTAAAATCTGTACGGATTTGGCAGGATAAGATCTACTAAAGTTTCTGTAAGTACAAAATGCATCTAAAGTATCTTTAAGACCCTGCTCTATCCACCATAAAAAAAAAGAAAAGATTAACTTTTGGGACTTTTTATTGTTTTAGACTTCTGTCTAAATTTGTACAGTTATCTCTATGCTTAAGCTCTCAAATGAAAAATATCATCCAATTTAGTCTTCAGGTAATCAAACAGAAAATTTAACAGGCCATGCTAAAAATGGCATGATACAACCACGAGCAAGTTCAATACCAGTAAGTTAAAAGTTTATATTTCTTAAGCTAAAAATCTTTAAGCATAATATCTTCTTTTCATCATGCTCAAAAATGTCTCAAGTGACAGTGTCGATGATACTAATTCACAACCTAAAGGGTTTGTGTCAGCCACTCACCTTTTTCTGAAGAACATTGATTTTTCTTTCCTTCACTTCTAACATATCCTTCATGTCTCGAATCTCCCCAGCCAGTGTCCCCTTCTCTTCTGTGAGGTCCTGCAGTTGCTTTGTTTTTTTATTGAGAAAAGATTCTTTCTCTTCCAGTCTTAATCTCAGTGCATCTACCTGAAATCAAAAATAAGAAAGAAGGTGCAGAGGTCATCAGTGACTACCTGTCAAGCCCTGGGAGGGATGGGCAGTGGTAAGCACCCCTCTGAACACAGCACCACCATACCACTGCTCATGGGCTCTCATCGCCATGCCTTTTAACAGCCTGTATCTATGTTAAAGTCCTGCTGTATGTATATCTGATCAGTGATACATTTTTAAATACAAGTTATTTATGAAATTAGATATTTTGAAATAGTCATGTATCTCCACACTATGAAACCATAGCTGGAAAACAAAGCACACTAATCCTCTGTGTCTTTAAGCGCCCAGGGAGGGCACAGCACTGCTCACTCTGCCACACCCTCCAGGAACACGGAGAACACAATGGGCCATGCTGCAGACATCTGGAAGAACCAGGTTGATATGTAGCAAAACACTCCTACATTAGAAAAATACGTGTTGTCAAGAGGAAGTCAGTGGTGCTATTAAAAAATGTGGAAATGATACCCATTCCCCAGTTCTATGAAAGACTACTTTCCAAATAATAAAGAAAAAAAAGCATACCAAAAAATGCCTATTTCTTCCTTACCTCGAAAATTAGATTATTACGATTCCTGCTTTTCATATGTCAGTAATAAAATGAGGAAAAATAAGCTTAATTTTTTTCTGAAGACCACAAAAAGGTCCAAGAGTGATGTGGGGTGTTGGGGTGATAGAAGACTTTAATTCTCAGGCTCCATGAGGAATCTGAGGAACAGTAGCTTTATCAACAGTCAGGAAGTAGTGATACCAGCATGTTATTTAGAGAGATCAAAATAACCAGGCAAAAACAGTTAAAACCATTTGTCTCAGGGAAGAAGAAATGGCATAGAAATAAACAGTTGACTGCTGCAATCTGATAGCAAATTTTGCTCATTATGCTAAAAGCAAGAAAAATTTGGATGGGGGGGGCGGGGAAAGGCAGAAGTGTAAAAAAAAGGATTCAGGAACACCATCAGAAACCACAATAAACAGATATGTAGATACTGTGAGGACACAGAGTTAAAAGGTTTAACTTGGAACAATGAGAAGAGAACATTGGGTTTAGGCTGGGTTCTGCTTCAATCTAGCTCTGAGGATCAGGACAAAACAACTCACTTCCTCCCATCCAGCCTTTCAGCTACAGTTGAAACAGTAACTTTGTTTCTTCCTTCATGAAACAAAGAAGCTGAAACAGAGTATCTGACATTTTATGATTGTGAAGGTATTTAATTAATTATTTAGATATTATTTAATTTTTAGAGAGGGGGAAGGGAGGAAGAAAGAAAGGGAGAGAAACATCAACTGGCTGCCTTTCATAGGCAACCCAACTGGGGACCAAACCAGCAACCCAGGCATGTGCACTGACCGGGAACCAAACCGGCAAACTTTTAGTTTTTGGGACAATGCTCAACAAACTGAGCCACACTGGCTGAGGCACATTTTATGATTTTAAAGACAGGAATCAGTCTTAGGTAGAATACACCATGCAAAGATGGTAATATTAGAGACAAGACAGTTATTGGGGTAGAATCTCCTTTTCTTACCCCTTTCCAAGAAAGAGGTATCAAAGTTGTGTTTCTAAAGGTCAAAGGTGATAAAAAGGTAGGTGGGTAGTTTTCCCAATTTCTGTCCCTGAGAAGTGGATGAACCTGGGAGGTACCAGTGAAGCACAGGATGACAACAAGTGCTTGAAGCCCAGTTAGCAGAGTGACCCTGAATGCATCATGGAAGAGGATGGACATTCTGTGACTGCAGAGGGTGAGAACAGCAGATTCTTCCAACATCTGATGCCTGTGCCTCTTCTCACATAATGACCACAGAGATCTAGGATCTGGGAAGGTAAAGGAGATGCTCGTGTTCTGGGGATCTTCACTCTCCTAAGTGAAAACTGATTCCACTGGAATGAAAATTCCAGTTCCAATTGATTAGGGTATAAACATGAAGATTCTCAAGTGGCCTTTGTTTAAAGTTATCTTCACTTTAAACCGGCTGAGCACTCCAGATTACAGGGTGGTTGTAAGGGGTTACAACCTGACCAGGACTCAGTGTGAATCTGAGAAGAAACTGTGCTCCCATTAGCCTCCCAACCTAGCTATCAAAGATGGATGGTCTCTGTCTGGACTAAATACCCAATATCCAAAACTGTGATATCAATAAATTACAATACGGTAGATAGTGAGTGGTACTGAAGAGAGTTTAGAAAAAAGACTCTGTTTTGATGAATAATACACTTAACATTTGCAGCACCTTCTTACCATGCATGATCTATCAGTACCCAGCTGCATCTTTCTAAGCCCGGAGAGATACAATGCAAGCCTGGCTGTAAGAATATTTCTCCAGGCATAAAACAGAGAGCAAGGATGGCCGTGATCAACACATTACTCGTAACGGCCAACCTCTACATGGCAGGAGGGATTCTGTGCCAGCTGAGGCTTCAGCTCAGGAGTTTATTTTCCATGTGCCCAAAAGCTTTTACTTAGCTTCAAAGGAATTTGAATCGTACCCTTCAATCACCTTCACTCTATCTTTACAGCTTTGCACAGTCTCCTATAATCAAGAAACAAAGCTTAAGGGACTATTTTTTTTAACTCTGACCTGAACTGCATCCAATTCTCAACCAACATTAGCCCAGTTCGTAGTAAGCAAGTATGACATCATTTCTAAAGTAAAATTTTAACTTCCAGATGGTGCAAAACCACAAGCAGGCACACAGGCCTTCTGATGCACAGACATTTAAATACAGGGAGGATCAGGCAAGACAGAAGAGAGTCTATTAAAAATTATAAAATGTAGTTTCAAACTGGGTATCAGTGAGTAGAATTAAAGTTCCCCTCACTAATATTTGGACTTCAGTCAACAGTGTACATCAGTTAAAAAAAAGAAAAGCCTTGAAGTTTAGATTATATTCTAACATCAGGTAGAGACATAAAAGTTAAAATGTTTGAGAATATGAAATACTTCTCTTTGTCTCTTCACTCAACACCAAATAATTTTAAGGGCTCTCGACGCTCTCAAACTTTGGCAGTTGGCTCAATAATAAAACTTGGCAAAGCAAAAAGCACCATCATTTCCCGGAAAAACAAAAGAAAATTAGAACTATATGATATAGTCAGTACATAAAGACCCATAGGTTGAGTTTCCAATTTTTACTTATGACTCAACTGCATGGGAACTAGCCACCTAATGTTAAAACTAGGACAATCTTTTCATTTTAGAAGAATTACTCATTTCCTTCTGATCCAGTTATGTGTGTATTTCTGTGTGTGTGTGTGTGTGTGTTTAAGAGCGTATAACATATGAAAACTTAACCTTTTATCTGGCAGTATAAAACACAAAACATTTGTTATCACTTCAGTTCCAGGTAATAACTTGAAAGAAAAAGACCATGGCAATGAAATTGGCAAAAAAATGGCCAAAATCAGAGTTCAACATTATTAATCTTCATGTCAGCACCCAGGAATTATAACCAGTTCCAATGGTGAGGCATGTCTGTGGAAGTTCTATACATAAGCCTCCTGACCTTTCTGGTGTATTTTACATGAGCCTTCAGAAACAGTTTTAATGTTGTGGCAAAACACTAAGTGCTACTTGATGTGCCATAAATAATTCTTTTTTTTAAAATCAAACGGTTCATTTCACTGGTAAAATGACTACAGCAACACTTGAGGGAAAAAGAAACACTTGAGAAAGAAAAAGGAGCCACTTGAAATTTTTCACAGATTAAATACTACTTACTTGACAACACTTCAGGAATTGAGTAAACATAGTATCACAAAGGACAACTTTAAAAGAAAATGAAACTGGAATACTCACAAAAGCTCCCAATGTAGTTTTATTTCACATTCAAAGTTTTGTTTGTTTGTCTTTCCTAATAGTAGACTTGGGCTGAGGATATATTTGAATTTGATTCAACTTGCAATCATTCAAATGGAGAGACAGTTTTAAAGTTGGAAGTATGCATAAATGTACACAGCCTCCAAACACACAAGCACTGAAAATAATGTAAAATCTAAAACTTGCTGTGGTAGTAACCACTACTTCTCACTCACATCCAATTTCCCTTTCCTTCTTGAACACAGGGAAGCTCTCCCTTATAGGAAGATGGGGCTATCTGTTTTATTCATAAAACATAAACAGAAGTGACATATATCACTTCCTGTCCATGCCCCTCCCCAACTCTTCCCCTTCCTCAGAGATCTTGGAAGCTACATTTTGAGGATGGCGGACCTACAGGATGGCAGAACCTCCCTAAATCTGGACCCTCATGAGACCACAAGAAGGGGAAACATCCCCCACCTCCTGCTCACCAGTCCTCAACCTCCGCATGGGTTGGACTTACAGTATAATGTATTAAAGTACTCAAAAGTTACTATAATAATTTCCCCTGTTTTAGCTAAGACATGAGCTCCTTGTAACTGAAAAGATTTGTCTTTAAGATTACCATAAACCTAAAAGAAATGGGGCCATTTTACCTCCCTCCGCCCCTTCTTTGTGTAGGATCTCGAAATCTACTTTCCCCTCTTTTCACCCAAAATGCAAAGAGAGGGGCAATGAGAGAGATACAAGGGCATAGTTAAAAGGAGGAGGTAGCAGAACCCTGGTGAATGGACTAATAGGTTAAAGATTGAGACCTTGGGGAAGAGAGAAAGAGATTGAAGAAGAGTCCCCTTAAACTCACTGGCTTAAACTCCAGTTTGTATAGATAAGTGGCTCAAGTGGACAACTCTGTTTTGCAAAAAGTCTCTGCATTACAAATATATTGTTCAAGTAACTCGTGGCAATGCAGTGGACTTACCCACAGGCCTTCCAAATGTTGGGAACAAAACTAAGGTGATATAAGCAAAATGAGGTTAATAACAGTACCTCCTTCATCAAGTTATTTTGGAGATTAAATTGAATAAGCTGTAATGCACTTAGCACAGTGCCTGGCACCCAGAAACACTCAACACATTTTTGCTATTGTTATTATGTTTTATTATTCTGCTTTCCACAGC